TGCACATGCAATAATGTTTTATGGAGAAATTATATATTAATTAGTTGTTTTTAATCGGATTTGAACTTTTTATATGCTGGTAATTTTTTTTTGGAAAATTTTAGTGACTTTTTATATCGGTTGTGAAAAGACTGATGTAAAAGTGTAATGTCATAAGCAGGCTTTCTATAACGGTTGTATTTCGAACCGATATAAAAACCTTCCGTGTCAGTTCAACCTACCCGTTATGGATACCCTCCGACTTTCTATATCCCTTGATACTATGTCGGTTCCCCAACCGTTATAGAAAGCCTATTTTAACCGACATAGAATGTCTTTTTTCCACTAGTGACTCTTCCTGGTCTGGACAAAAAGCGATTGTTCCAGCTTTTTATACGATTTAGTACCCTGTCCCTGATAAAAAACAATATAGTTGTTTTATTCTGCCCCACCAGACTAGGTAAACCCAAGTACTTTTGTTGACCTCCTTCCTGCAGAATACCAAAAAAATTGCAACAATAACTTTTAAAAGTCTCGGCCACATTTTGAATGAACGTGCCCAAAGACTTCCAAAAGTTTATTTCCTGGCCCGAAGCAGCCTCATATTCGGCTAGGATATTCTTCACAGCCTCACATTCTCGTCCCGAAGCTTTAAGAAACAAGAAATGTCATCTGCAAAAAATAGGTGGGAAACCCTTGGTGCCTCCCTACAAACCGCCACCTCGTGTAAGTCCCCCCCCTACGTTCGGCCCTGCTAATCAAAGCACTCAAGCCCTCCGCCACTAATATAAACAGATAAGGAGACAAAGGATCCCCCTGACGGAGCCCCTGCTTGGCATAATCGGCCCCAAAAGGTCCCCATTAAACTGGACATAATATCTGACAGACTGTACACACATCATGATTATCTGGACCCATCTTTCACTAAAACCCATCATGTTTAAAATATCCTCCAAAAAAGACCAACTCACCCTGTCATATGCTTTGCTCATATCAAGTTTGAGCGCCACAAAACCCTCTTTTCCACTGGTCTTCCTTCTAAAAAATGATTTGTCTCAAAAACCACAATTATATTATCAATAATTGACCTATCAGACACAAAAGCACTCTGACATTCCCCAACTAGGCTATCCAACATACCTTTTAGCCTATTAGCCAGAATTTTTGAGAAGAGCTTATATACTACATTACAGAGCGCAATTGGCCTCCAGTCCCCCCGTGCTCTCTGGTTTTTCCACCTTAGGAATAAGCACAATATTTGTTGTATTAATATGATCAGCCAGATTACCCAGACTCAAACATTGACGCACACAGAGCCGAAATATCTGGTCCTAGCACCTCCTAATAAGCGTGAAAGAAGACGGGGTTCATCCCGTCTGAGCCTGGAGCCTTCTCCGGGTGCATATCAAACACAACCCGCCTGACCTCCTTCGGGCTGATTGCCCGTAAAAGTGAAGCGTTCTGTTCCGCGGACACCTTTCGAAATTCTCCACGGATGACAAGTGGTTGATGTAACACTTGAGATTTAATATAAATGGATTAATAGTACTACTTATACCAACAAGGTGCATCTCCTTTTAAGGGAGCTCATCACCAAGAACTCCAAACTTCAGCGTGCTTGCACGGGAGTAGTCTTGGGATGGGTGACCCCCTGGGAAGTTTCTCAGGGCGCGCACGAGTGAGGACAAAGTGCGCGAAAAAGGCTAGTGGCGGTTTGTGAGGACAGTATAAAGGTCTGGAGTAACTACCTCGGGTCCTGGGGGGTCGGGGTGTTACAGGTGGTATCAGAGCAACCCTGCGACAGTGTGCTGATCCGTTGGATATCGGGCGGGCACTTAGCAGGGGAAAAGATTCTGGGGTGTGATTGAGATTGGTTTAAGGGCGCAACGAGGACGTTGTGATTCTAAGTGGGGGTGATTGTAACACTTGAGATTTAATATAAATTGATTAATAGTACTACTTATACCAACAAGGTGCATCTCCTTTTAAGGGAGCTCATCACCAAGAACTCCAAAGTTCAGCGTGCTTGCACGGGAGTAGTCTTGGGATGGGTGACCCCCTGGGAAGTTTCTCAGGGCGCGCACGAGTGGGGACAAAGTGCGCGGAAAAGGCTAGTGGCGGTTTGTGAGGACAGTACTAGAGGTCTGTAGTAACTACCTCGGGTCCTGGGGGGTCGGGGTGTTACAGTTGAGACCTCTCCTGTTCTTGAAACAAAGCTGAGAAATATTCCAAAACTGCCTCACCGAGTTCTCCCCGGTTAGACATCCACGTACCATCCGGTCGCCGCAGTCCTGCCATTTTATTTCGTCGTCGCCTTTGTTTAACAGCGTTGTGAAAAAATCAGGAATTAATGTCTCCCTTTTTCAACCAGACTCCTTAGCCCGTTGCTTCCAGAATTGATTTTCTTTTTCAAGTAAGACCTGCAAAACTGAATGGGCATGTCAAAATTCAAGAATACTTGCACGGTCATCCTTCCCCCTTAGCCAGGCCAATCTGGATTTGCACGCCATAATTTGGTGCCTAAAACCTCGTTTCCTCCCTCGATCCCATCTGGTCAGTTCAGTAGCACAAAAGCCGATCCTCTCATTGATTAACCTCCGACTAGTTGCTCCCAAACTATTAGTAACGATCAACCTACATTCCTACTCCTTGATCCAGTTATTCTCAAATTTAAAGAATGTTCTCCTACGGTTTGGAGCAGTATATTTTACCTGCACATGAAGCGCCATATGGTCACTTGCAGGCGCCTCCACTAACACAGCTTGAGCTTCTATATATAATTCCCACCAGGCATCATTGACCAGAATGCGATCTAGCTTCTCCTTCACCCAGTAAACTGAATCTTTTCCGTTATCCCAGGTTCATTGGTAACCCGAAAAAGGAAAATCTCTCAGACCAAAGCTATTCACTGCCCCTCTAAAGCCCCGAATCCTCCAGAGGGGTTGTGGGATATTGCCTTTCTTTTCTGAATCAAACATAACATCATTGAAATCTCCAATCATCATCCAAGGACCATCGTTACCCTCGGCCAATTCTTCCATCATTCTCCAAGCATCCTGACATCGAACTATCTTGGGGAAGCCGTAGAAACCTGTTAGTCTCCAGGGGTCATCGTTGCCCAACAAGGTTACCCTGCCATCAATGAAATTTGTTCCGTTCTTTCTGACCTCCACTTCCACATCATCATTCCATCCCATGATTAACCCTCCACTCCGGCCTGCACTATCTGTCCCTTCCGAATTGGAGAAACCCTTCGACCGTTGTATTTCCTTTGCCCGCAAGCACCAGACCTTCGTCTCCATAAGGAAGATGATCGTCGGTCGGTATTGGCTGACGAGGTCCGTCAAACATTGTATTGTCGCGGGATTGTTAAGGCCCTTACCGTTCCAGCTGAGTATGCTCATCGCACCCTCTCCTACCGCGCTGAACTACAAGCCCGAATCACCGCCTTGCCAGGGAAGACGCCGCCTTCAAGCACTGATTTTATCCGAAGGATATAAGGGAAAGTTACCCCGTCCTCAGCAAGTTCCCAAATAACCGAAGCCGGAAGAAAAATCTGAACGAGCAGGCTGAGTCGCCTCCACCGCCGGTAAAAACTAGCTAGGGAAAACCCTAGAGACGTCGGCCTCACGATTTTCACTGTATTTAACACATGACTCAATCTGAAAATGAGTCCAACCACAAATAACTTTTTCGTACTTTTCCCATCAAATAATTAGAAAAAATTGGAAACTTATGACAAATTACAAATACGACTAGGCAACATACCATACACTATCCACTTAGGCCAAATTACCAAATTGGTAAAAAAAGGATGTTGGACAGATTGGTAAAAAACAATTCGAGACAATTTTTTTTTTAAAAAAAAGACCTAGTGACAAATTGGTCAATTTTTTGAGATTGATAAACTTTTGATCCTCGACTTTAGAATTTCCGACATTTCATATTCTAAGTATTGTGAAATTGACATTTGCAGTCCTTTTACTTTGATTTTGTTATCAAAAGTGGGGCCTAAAAATGTCAACGATCGTGTTTGATAATAACGGTTGTTTGCTAGCTCATAGCCGGTTGTATCAACAGATTGATATTAGCGGATTCCGTTAATTTGCAATAACTAATTGCTTTCATTAGCGTTTTGAAATACAATGTAAGTAACATAAAATTTGCAATTAGCTTTTCAAACGTAAAATGACCGTTAAAAATGAATTTAAAAGTTTATGTATTTAAATTAATTTTATTTCTTTTTATTTTTAATATGTCTTGGAAAAAGTTTTAAAAAATATGTTTACGTTTATTTTAAATAATTAATAACACAGTCATTTTTAAGATATGTACATTGATGCGAGTACACAAATATAAATTCATATATTTTTAGTATTAGTATTTTAAATATGACTATTTATTAGTTCATTTAAATCTACTCCATTTAAAAAATCTACTCCATATGACTATTTATTAGTTTTTTTTAAATCTACTCCATGGTAATTTAAAATAAATGCAAATAAATTTTTTAAAACCTTTTGAAAAACTTATTAAAAATAAAAGAAATAAAGTTAAGATAAATATATATACTTTTAAATTCATATTTTTAATGGTTATTTTACGTCTTAACATTTAATCGCAAATAGTTAAGTTACTAACACTTTATTTCCAACGCTAAAGAAAACGGTTAGTTATAAAAGCTCACGGAATCCACTATTATCAATATGTTGATTCAACCGGCTATAAGCTAGCAGACAATCGCTATTATCAAACACGGTCGTTGACATTTTTAGACTTCCACTTTTGATAACAAAATCAAAGTAAAAAGATTGCAAATGTCAATTTCAGAATACTTATAATATGAAATGTCGGGAATTCTAAAGTCGAGGATCAAAAGTTTATCACCCTAAAAAAATTGACCAATTTGTCAACTTTTTTTTTTACCAATTTGTTTCAATTTTTTTTTTACCAACCTGTTCAACAGTTTTTTTTTTTTTTTTGTGCCAATTTGGTCATTTGGCCTATCCTCCACTTACGGTCGGTAAGGTAATGGTATACCTGATAGTTAGAAACTTTCCGGTACCGCCACGGGAGAGAGTGTGATAGATGAACAATGGTTACAATGGTCCTTACCTCTAATTCTTTTTCTGCGCACTTCTCTGAAATCTTGGTGTTTAGCGGAATCCCTGTCCGGAATTCTCTCGCCTGCTCTGTGCCGTTTACAAATCGGCCACATCACCTGAAAACGAGTCAGCGTATGAATAGAACCGGTGCTCTGAAGGACTGGAAAGATTATGACCAAGCTTTGAAGGATAAGGACCTAACCAGAGCTCTTCGGTTCCTAAAGAGTATTCCTGTTCAACCAAAGGAGGAGTCTTGGATAGAGTCTAGCCGGTATCGGAGCGAGCTGGATTGGGCAAGGGCCGCTCGGCAGGAGCGCAATTGGGAGGTTTTGGATACCTGCTTGAATGCGGATGATATGAGGCTTGTTGCCGGAGCGTACACTTTTCTTAAGGGCATGGATCTCTTGCCCAATTTTGGGAAATGCAGTAGCATTGGTAGGTAATCTTCTTCGTCTTTGTTTGTTTTTTTGTTTTTGTTTTTGTTTTTGTTTTTGCAGTGACATCACCCCATAGCATTCTATAATTCATTTTCTGTTCTGGACTATCTCTTACACTCTCCCCTCAACTTGTCGCACTCATGCCACACAAAAATTACTAACTTTTGTTAGAGTAGTCCCATTTTTTAAGAACATCAGCTGAACATGTCACATACTCACTCTGTCCCTGTTAGAGTAGTAATTTTTTTAATAGGAGTACATAGTTATCATTTTAACTTTCATTTTATGGGGATCAATACATTTTTTACTGCAGTTTAAGAGTATGTACAATTTAATTATTAGTACTAACTAGCGGTGTGCGCACTACATGCGAATAGTGCCCAACTTAGACAACTTAATCATTTTTTGGAGACTAAGGCTTGGATGTTGTTGTTGTATTATATGAAACATATTACTTTCAACTTAGACATCAAATAAACACCAGCGAAATAAACATCAAAATGTCTTTAAAAGAAGAACACAAAAAATGTTATAATTGTTCCAACTAATTCAAGTTTTTAAGAAATACGTAGTAGTAACTAGCGCGGTTTCTCTTTAAGGAGATTCCTTATGTAGGTACTTGTGATTAAAACAAGGAATAATTTGAGTTTGCACCCCATATTATTGTCCAAATTGGACTTTGCACCCCGTATGAAAAGACAAAAATGCCCCTCCATCAACAATTCAGTTGGCCTTCAACATATTCCTGATTGAGGGGCATTTTTGTATTTTCATACGGGGTTAGGGTGCAAAAACAAAGATTTTTAAAAACGGGGTGCTAAGTTCAATTTGGACAATAATATGGGGTGCAAACTCAAATTACCCCATAAACAAACAGACAACTCCTTTTTTAGAAAAATTACTTCAGTTTTTAAACATTTTAGCATTCATTCAAACAAACTGTTTGAACTGAATTGCATTTTTATGGAATTTTTTTATCTTCCTAAAAAACTGCACTCATGAATGAAAATTTAACACAAAGCATGCCCCATTTCTTTCATTTTCACATTCACATTTTAGTCACTGGTTTTCTTATTCATATGTACAAAATAGGGGGAAAACATCTCTATGCAAACAGCAGTAGTATTCTAATAAGTTGGTCTTAGATTAAAATAGATGGTTTTTTTTCTGTTAGATAAAATCATAAAAGATCAAAGAATTTAGAGAATCTGTTTAGTGACCAATATGTATAGCCGGACCAGGAAAATTCTTAGCAGTTGTCACTTGTTTAGAAGGGAAAAATTTGAAGATAAAGCTACTTGAGTTTGTTAAACATTTGAGCGGATTCTCGGGTTAAAGTACTGAAATGAACTGATATTTGTTGAACTGTTCTATTGTCCTGATGTGTGAATTGTTAAACTCTCCACAATAAAAATGGACTCAACTCTTATATGGTTTTTTATTTCACATTAAGATAAAAAACACTCTTAACTGAAGCTACGGATACTGTGACCTAAAGAAATCCCAGTAAGAGTAAAACATAGTGAGACCTAGGAGTACAAGGTTATTTTCATTTTTAAACAGCAACTTTTATATCCAGGCCTAAATCCTATGTCATATGTATTGCTTTAGGAAGATTTACACTTTTTTAATTACAATGTTATTTGCATTTCAAACTGCTAGTCTTTTCGTATGCAAAAATCTTGATATGCCATTATGTGGCCTGAATCTGATAGAAACCTCCAGAATTCCACAACAAATTACAGAAAGAGAACAAGAAATCAAACTGATTTTATTAGAGAAGAAGATGAACAGTACAGAAAACGATGGCCGAAGCCCCCAAAAGCCGAAGCTCCCAAAGAAAGAGATTATTAGTCTCAGTCTTCCCAAGTCCCAAGACAAACAGTCCAAAAGCCTCCTCATTACTCCCACTTTACATCTATTTATACTAGAGACCCTTATTACTAATATTATTATTATTACTTCTAATATTATTCTAATAGGTAGGTCCCTATCAATACACCCCCCCTAAACATCCACCTTGTCCTCAAGGTGGGTAATAGGAGAAAGCCAAAAGCTTCTGCCTCCTCTTCCTCTTCCTTGTTCCTCTCCCTTCCCAATATCTTTCAAATTTCAGGATCCTGAACTTCATGACTTGAATGTTCCTTCTCACTGCTTCTAGCACTAACAGCAATAGCTCCTCTCCCTTCCAAGCTTCAATATTATTCCTGTGTCTTTGTTCAAGCTGGTGCTGATCTTCTCCCAATTCTCTAATATCAGCAAAAGAATCAGATCACAATTTTGTGCGTAGGGTTAAGTCATAATCAAATTTTTATTTGTGGATACAAATCAATATTTCCACTTTTACTTTGTTTTATTTCAGCTTCAAATGGTACATTTCTTTTAACAATTTAGATGTTTTCACTTGGATGGCTCTTTAGATTTTTTCAGGACCATGAAATACTCTTAGAATCTCACATCAATCTTTCAGCTTTATTTTTATTGTTGTTGTTTCCTCTGCGATTGTTGTTTTATTTTGATTTTTAATGCTCAGATTGCTCTTTACTGGCTTTATAACAATGTTCCCTTTTGTGCTTGCTATTGTGGACTTCTCTTTCTCCACTTATGCATCTACTATGCTGTAAGGGAGATCTTTAGTATTAACCATTGGTCCATTACTGCTGAGTCATTCCTATAATATGTGTAGTTGCATTTGTAAATTGTAAAGCAAGAATTAAAGAATGACTTAAGTTTAAGAAACCAAAATGGGTAAGAGTGCAATGGAAAGCTAAAAAATATGCTGAAGTCTCACTTAAGATCCTCAAAATGTTATGTTCATGGATAGAAGTTGTATGATTAGACAAACGTGATGTTCCTAAATAAGACTATGTATTGTTTTTGAATGTGTACTAACGTCCAAGTCAAAGAGAGTTGTACCAGCACCAATTCTTATGTTATGAATGAATTGAAAATATCAAGTATTTTAATGAAAAACAGCACCTGCTAATAGCTCTTACTACAGGATATAACTCAAACCCTTGAGCTTCAGTTGCTTCATTCCTTGATATTGCAGCATTCACAGTAGCCAACTGAAACTGGTAGTCACCAACTCCACCCCCATCTGGAACAAGTAAACAGACCACTGGCATTTCTCTAACCTTTATCATATCACTCTCAGTCAATCCTACTCCCAACCCCTTACTAATAGAACAACTCAGAGATGAAACTCTTGAGATACATTGATCATTGCCCACCATCACATAGCAATATCCACCATCTTGGTATGCATTCTTACTCCAACCTGAGTAATAAGGAGCCTTTTCTTTCCGAAAATTGGACCAAGAACTCAAGCCAGAAGACAAAGCATTTGGATTCAATTTCAAGTCAGCATAGGTAACAGTTTCATTTGGTTCAGACTGCTTCCAGCCTTCCATAGCAGAAATTAATTCATTACTATTATGCAGCTCCTCATAGTTTCTATCTTCTGAGAGTAGTACAGTATTGGCTGCAAAATCTTTTTTGTTCCTATCAACTTTTTCCTCTGTTAATTCTTTACCTACCTCATTTGAAAAGGAAGGTCCAAAAGGCTTTAGCAAGCATTTAACCAAGGAACAAGAAAGACTATTTTCCAAGTAAAATTTCCAGAGTTGGTGTCCTAGCAGGTAAGCAGATTCTTCACCAGAAGTCAACATTGCTATTTTCAAGCCTTGTTTCACTTTCACCTGTTCCTTAACTTCAATATCTTGTTCCACATAACTTCCTGCCGTTTTCTCATTGATATAACCTGTAATTCTGAGCTCTCCTGTCACATAATCCACCCCTAAGTTGTTAGATGAGTCACAACTAATTGGACCCTTCCCACTCAGATGCACAATAGCAGAAGAAACAACTGGAGCATATTCTTGATGATCCTTCGAATTATAAGGAGCTGATAGTTCCTCATCAACCTGTCTTTTGAAAATTGCTTTAAACATACTAGAAGAGTGCATTCCCATAGTCAATTTTTTATTGTACACTGCTGTTTCAGCCTCTTTATCATCCATAACCAGCCTTCCTCCACTCATAACATTCATACAAGTTGGTGAACTTCCATGTGAAGTCAATGCCCCAATTTGAACATTAGCATATGATCCCCCAGAAGGATGATAAACATGATCCTCAAGAACAACTGGACCATATCTCTTTTGTTCTAGGGAATTTAAATCCACATTGTTTGCAAAATTAGGAGAAACATAATCTGGCCATTGGATAACCTGTCTTAGATCTTCGATTTCTTCCTTGTCATTCATTTTCTGGAATACAGATTTATTTGTCTCCATCTCCATCTCCTTTATTGACTGGAAAAAACCTTGCGCAGGTTCAGAAATAGCTTGTGACCAAACTGGCGAATCAGAAGATTCTTTTTCTGATCGTGATGCCTCCTTAGGCAAGTTGATTGAAGTTCCCGACTCAGTCTTCCGATGGTTAAGCGACTGCGACGACTTTAGTGTGTCAAATATCCGAACAGGCCTAGACTTCCTCGATCGTTCTCCAGTCCCTCTGCGAAGCTTATGCTCTTCCGATTTCTCCAATCTGAGTGTCGATGATGAGAGTTGCGATGCGTAGGAGAGTAGTCAAAATTCTCTTCCGATTCCTCTGGATTAGATGACCTTCGCGAATGATGATGCGAAGTATGACGAGAAGAGCTATGCGAAGAGCGATGGGAAGAGTTATGCTCAGATCGATGGGAAGAACTCTGCGAAGAATGATGTGAAAAATTCTGCGCCTGGTGAGAAACTGTACGCGATTGTGACATATGAGAAGAGGTTCGCGATTTGGACTGCGATGAGGAATTCTGCGTATGGTGAGAATTCTTCTGCGACTCCGTCTGCGACTTTCGCAACTCCTTCTGCGATTCCTTCTGCGACTTGGTCCTCGATCTTCCTTGCGAGTGCCGATTGTTTATTTGCATGGTTAATTTGCTCATCTCTTCGCAAAACCGCTTGCTTTGTTCGCGCATAGTGTCGCAAAACCTCCTGTTTTGTTTGCACATCTTTTCCATCGTGTGCTCCCAATTTTCCATTGTTCCTACTATGTTTAGGTCTACAGGTAACAAGATCGATGGCTCTGATACCAATGATAGAAACCTCCAGAATTCCACAACAAATTACAGAAAGAGAACAAGAAATCAAACTGATTTTATTAGAGAAGAAGATGAACAGTACAGAAAACGATGGCCGAAGCCCCCAAAAGCCGAAGCTCCCAAAGAAAGAGATTATTAGTCTCAGTCTTCCCAAGTCCCAAGACAAACAGTCCAAAAGCCTCCTCATTACTCCCACTTTACATCTATTTATACTAGAGACCCTTATTACTAATATTATTATTATTACTTCTAATATTATTCTAATAGGTAGGTCCCTATCAGAATCCTACGCCATACATATATTGTCTTAGGCAGATTTACATTTGATTATAATTACAACGTTATTTACATTTAAAATTCCAAATGTTGATAAGAAGTATGTATTGGCCAGCCTGAACTCCATTTTTTATGTTCTTTCATAGTAGAGAAACATTACAGGTTTTAGAATTACTGTAGAATATTTTTATCATCAAAGTGCTCATATTTCTTAAAGTCAGATCTTCTTTGTTGAGGATACACTTTATGATAGATTGAAAAGTAACCAAGTTCCCACCTTTCTATTGAAGAATTATTAGTAGTAGAATATCTTAATGTGTACTCATGAACATTCCCTACATTCCCTGCTTTTTATCCAAAATAGAATTAGAAAAAGGAAGTAGCAATAGGAAGTGTTCCTCAGCTCTTTTTCACTTATGTTACACACTATATTTTTAAATAGAAGTATATGTGACTAAGTTTTAAGATGACTTTGTACATAACAACACATAGGTACATTCTGCTTTATATCTTCACCAGGTTTAAGGTATGCCGTATGCATAATTGTTTTTTAGACACCAAATAATCTCTGCTTCAAGTAGTTAAGAATTTTGACTGGGTTTTTAGAAAGGAAAAATTTGAGTGTTGTTCTTGAGGGAGAAAGTGTTTCTATACATATTGATAGGTAGCAATGTATTATGGTCCTTATAGCCTTGTTTTGCTGCTTCGATGTTTATTTTTCCACTATGAACTATTCACACTGAAATTTGAGTCACTCAAACATTGTTATTCTTTAACACCATTTTTTTTAGAAAGCCATAATTACACATAATCCATGACTAATATATTTTGGATGAATGAGTTCAAGCCCAAAAGCAAAATGGAAACTTGTTCTAAAAGAAAGCAATGAATGAGATTAAAGTTTCAGTCCACAAGGAACTTCCTAGAAGTTTCAATCCCTGCTACCAAAAATAATTGGAAAAGGCAAAAATGCTAACTTCTTTGTATATTTTTATTAAAGATGGATGCAAAATAAAAGCTTAAGTATGCTTGTCTTCATAGATTCTATATTGATTAATCTTGATTACAATCACACCAAAAGAAATGCTATAATTAGTATGTTGTTAACATATAAAATGGATATTTTGATAGGCAATATAAAATGGTAATTCCTACCTATTGCCTAATATACACAATGTTGTAATTTAGTATTTATTTTTTCTTCCAAATTCTGGAATATCATATTACTCTTGAACAAAATACCATATTACTCTTTAATCTGCACATTCTATGCAAGAAGATATTTTCTATATTTATATAAATCAATTAAGTAAACATGTGTAATTACTAATATTTTCACAGTAAGCAAAACATATTCTTTCTACATTTGGGCACAGTATTCTTAAGTGTAAATCTTAACTAATACTATTGAAGTCATTGTATGATTGAATTTGTGTTCATAAGAAGTATGTATTACAGAAAGTAACCAGTTTTGCAAAGATTGTTGTGTGAAACCAGATTTGTTATGTGAACTATTGTTGAGGCTTTTTGTCAAACAATTTGTAGGCGTGTACCCAGTTTTTTTTAAAAAGTAAGAAGAAGAAGGTGACCTTTTTGAAGCAGTAGATTGTTCTTTCGTAGCAACATTTAAACAAGGGTAAATACCAGTGAACCTAGGCTTAGAGGATTTCTGAAATCCTCGTTGTGCATGATTTTAATAAAGAATGCAGTGCAAAAAATGAATTCATGTGCAGGTCTTTTGTATTTGTGAAAGGTGTAGATAGATGACTTGAAAAGGGAACGACGTTATACGAAATGAGAATTTATGCATCTGAAGAAGTAGATGAAGTTAAAAGAATACCTGTCCATTCGTGCGGAGAAGGATGAAAAGGGTGGAAACAGACCCAACTATCCCTTTTGAATGAAGAGTAATAACCTTCACGGGCGGTTGCTGGGGGTTTTGATAACCAAATATTTATGTTGAAGAGGCGTTTGCGATTGAAAAGAGCAGCGAATGACAACGTTAATTGGAATGCCTTAAAATGTTACAGGTTTGACGGATTCTTGGACGGAAAAAGGACTATGTAACCAAAGATGGTGTTTATTAATTATGCAGATAAGAGTTAACCATCCTAAACCGAAATGGAACAAAGGGAGTATGAACTTATAGAGTATTGCGTTGAACTAGCTAATAGACTGCTCTCAATCTTTTAGTTTAGTTAGCCTCAAGGTATTTATGTCCCAATTGATGGACCCCAATCCAATTCTGATTTTGACACTTGTTCCGACAGTAATGATCTCTTTAAGGATGACCATTTAATTCAAAGATAATGGGAATTTATACTTCCAACGCATGACTTACATATGAAAACATTTGTTGGGCGAGACTAGCGCCATTTAAATGTTACCGAGTATGCGAGTTTTTGCCCAATTTTTCACTAAAGATTGCTATGCCTACTGCCTACCATTTCTCTATCTACTATTGTATACAACTAAAAGAAGTTTGCAAACTATGCAGTTCTGGAAGGCACGCGAGATGTAACACCATCATTATTGAAGTCTTTGACTGGTTTAGATGGTCAGTACATATCTGCTACTCCATTTTAATATAGGACCACAAGCTCTAATTAAAGATAATAAAACATGTTAATGGTTTTTTCTATTTCCAACTCTATCAATTGTGTGACATTTTTGGTCTTTAAATTTTCCAATTGTAGTCTCTTATTGTGAAAGACACACTTTTGCTACCCGTCTTTGAGTTTGTCCACTTTATACTTTTGATTATTATGACAGTGACACTTTGGCATTGTCTAAAACTCATAGTAGGCCTCTACTCAAAGTGAAACGTTCAAGGACGGGTACAAAAATGTCCTTGTCACAATAGTCTAGCGAAAAAATGGAATTATTCAAAGACGGTACAATCTCAGAGCACTAAGAGTAGTGCTCTATTAAGTTGAGGTGACATAGAAGTGTTGAGGTGTTTTGTGTTTAATGTGCCATCTATTAAGTCACATTCTACAATCTAAATTGAATTGAAGAACAAATATTCACATTTATATGAAGCATCGGTCATAAGAAAATCATTGGAATGTTTCAAGAATCTTAACTGCATGATTTACATTGTTTAGTTGCAGAAACTCATCAATTATATGCCTTCATGTTATCTTAACCCACATTCAAATAAAATATTCACAGTTTGGCTAGTAATTTTTTGTTCCATTCTTTGTGTTTTCAGTGACAAAACTTTCACCCAAAAAGTGGGGTCTTTCAGGAAGCTCTAGCCTTATTTTGATTGCATTGCTTGCTGGAATCTCTTTTATGGTAAATCAGGGAATGGACATCAGACCTAACATTACCGCAGTACTGGGCTTGACGGTGCTTGATGCTAAATTTCTTGGAGGTTCTTGCTTAGCGCAGGTCTCAAGCTACTGGCCACCTTATAGGCGCCGAATCCTAGTTCATGAAGCTGGCCATCTACTTGTAGGTAATTCTTTTTTCATTTTATCCTGTCGACACACGAGCGTTTATTGCATTGATGTGTTCTGAAAATCACCATTCGTACATGAGATAGTATATGGGGACATAGTGCATTCTTATGTGGTACTACTTATGTCCCACTAAACTTTGCCAAATTTCCGTACTTGGTCCTACAAAAAACTGTCACTTTCACTATGAAGTAAGTAATTTGTAGTTCTTATTATTTCCCCCATCTGCATAAGCCTCAACCACACAAATTTTACTTTCTTATTCCACTTGCTCTCAAACATTGCAAAGTTTGGAAGGGTGGAGGGAGTATTTAAACCCAGCCCGCCTTTTCATTACCTTGCATGTTCTATCCGTTATTGCTGTTAATTTTGCGTCTCGGTGGAATTAAAGTTGCTCTCGTAATATCATACTATCATCAATACATTCTACTACTATCTTGTAGCTTACCTCATGGGCTGCCCAATCCGTGGTGTTATTTTAGACCCCATTGTGGCGATGCAGATGGGAATCCAAGGCCAGGTATTTCTTATTCTGCTTTATCTTTTCCATATATTTTTAATATGATACGCATTGACACATGTCATAGAAACAACCCTTCGACAGTTATCGGGATAGGGGTAGATTTAAGCTTTCTCTGTATCTCTGATGCATGCTATATTGTAAGATTATGGAAAGGTAAAAGATGAAGTAGAACATTGAGAAGAGTGAAGACTGATAGTGGCTGGTTTTATTCTTATTTGATTTTTAATACCTTAATAATTGGCTATTCTATGAAGTGATTGATTATCTAGGATTTTTATGTGCTGGGCTAACATCCTGGGTTAGGCTACAATGTGTGAGATAGGCTAGGAAGATCGGTCATGTATAATGGCCCCGGATTTCTGACTTTGGCCCGGACAAACTCCAAGTTCATCTTATTGCTAGCCTATCTCGAAGATGGTAGTCAAGCCGAGGGGCGAGGGGCATTACCCCAACAAGTACGTTCCCTTGCATTTCTGACATATAAAAGAAAGACTTAATGGAATTCAATACTTGCAGTAAATTGACTACATCGAGAACAACATCCTAGCTTTATTCCCTAAAGAGTTTGGGATTGGCTAACATGCATTGACCTAAGATATCAGGGTTGAAACAAAAAAAGAGGAAAAAGGAACAGAAATAAATTCAGTTTGAGGGTGCAGTAAATTGACTAAAAAGTTTTGGATGTTGTGTACTCAGGCTCTCAGTTCATTTGAATAGCAATTGTGTTTCAGTGTACTTGATTCTACTGCCTCTGTAGTCTCATTGTGGCTGCACATGTATTACTCCATTTATTCCTTTCAGGCTGGAACACAGTTCTGGGATGACAAACTTGAGAATGAGCTCGCTGAAGGCCGGTTGAGTAGAACTGCTTTTGACAGGTTTTGCTTTTTTTTTTTTTTTTTTTTACTCCAGGGGGGTCTGAAGGAGGGGGGCTGGGGGGAGCCTGGAGTAACAGGTTTTGCATTCTGGTCTTTTGTATTATGTGTTCTTCGTTGGTTTCATTTAGGAGTAGGTAGATACTTGGGTTGCTTGGGATGTTGTGGAATAGTAACCAATTGTTTTCGAATGGAGAATAATACGTAGTATTTTTTCCTTTTGTGACATATTTGCCAGGTATTGCATGGTTCTTTTTGCTGGGATTGCCGCTGAGGCTCTTGTGTACGGAGAAGCAGAGGGTGGAGAAAATGATGAGAATTTATTCAGAAGCACCTGTATTCTTTTAGATCCACCACTATCTGTTGCTCAGGTAAATTTCAAAGGTCACTTTGACGGGCAAACAAAAAGAGAAGAAAATGGGTTTTTATTGGAATTATTTTCTACATAGGTATAGAGGATCTTATGTATAATACTCTGAGATTTCATAAATGAAGTTTTCTAAAACTATTATATTCTTAAATAAATGAGTTTTTTCCTAAAATATTGCTAATAAAAAACTATAGACAAAAATGTGATTATACGTTACTATGAATAAGTTTTATAGTCACTACGATGTAACATTTGAATACAATTAGTCACTAAAGTTATTAGTCACATTTTTGTCTATTACTCTTATTTTGGTTATATATTTGGAATTATTTCTAAATATAATTCTAATTAGGGAAAACTGTCAATTTTGTCCTCATACTTTCATGAAAAAGTCAATTAGGTCCTCGTACTATTTTTAAAAACCAATTAAATCTCCGAATTTTGCAAAAACGTTCAATTGAGTACATTTGCAGGTTACTTGCCATGTCAGCAGGTCACCCGCTGATGTGGCGCACACATGGCGGTCCATGGTACACCACGTCATCAGCAAATGGCTGGCCGGACTTCCACATGTGTGCCACGTCAGCAAAATTATTGTTGATTGGGCTGGCACATGTGCGCTACGTCAGTGGGTGATCTGTTGACATGGCAAGTAATATGCAAATAGACTCAGTTGAACGTTTATACAAAGTTCAGGGATTTGATTGGTCTTTTTAAAAATACGAAGACCTAATTGACTTTTTCGTGAAATTACGAGGACCAAATTGACAGTTTTCCCTTCTGCAAATATAACATCTTTGTTTTTAGATCCGTGGATTTTTTTTCATACCTCCAATATATGCTATTTTTATTTTAGTGATTCTCTAACTTTGGAAAAATCTCCATTTGGAAATGCTATCTACATTTACTGGGACTAAAACACATCTAAGCCATGATAAGCTTTAAAGAAACCAGAATGGTTATTACTTTATTTTTTAATGAGCTCGTTACATATTTGGAATTCTAATGGCAGTGATTTGTTATACAGATGTCAAATCAAGCTAGATGGTCAGTAATGCAATCCTATAATCTGTTGAAATGGCATAAACATGCACACCGAGCTGCATTTCAAGCTATGGAGGGTGGGCAGAGTCTGAGTGTGATTATTAAAAGAATTGAGGAAGCTATGTCTTCCGGCAGTTGAACTATGGAATGCAAGATGTATACTTCTTTCGTCCAGGAAGGGGTAATATCTCACTCACTCTCAGGCTTCTAATTTTCAGAACATATATAGATAGGTGCATATATTTGATGGGAACCGTTTATAACCCTGAATATGCAGACTTGAAGTGATAATTTGGACCGAGAAGTAATGGAAAAACAAGAAATTTCTCTACAGGCCTGGTGTAGAGACGTAGAGTTTTTATGGCACTTTCATTATAGGTGGTTCAACTTACTGCTGGTAGCCTGGTAATAACATCACACTGCATATGTGAACTGCCTTTAAGAGAAGAGATTCTTCCATGTATTAGCTGCACATTGAGAATTTAGTGTACTTTCTTAGTCATTAGCGAACAATGTGAAAGAAATGTTTTTGTTTTATCTAAAAGGACAGTATTTAAAAAGGGAAAATGTAAAGATTGATCATTCATTTATTTTTTTGCCAAAATTTAGCTCCCTTGTAAGTCCAAACTGTGGTAGACGAACTACATATCATGTAGTCATGTACTTCTCGTAGTTATCTTTTTAACTTTATCAGTTTATTGTGGAGAATGAGAATCAAAAGTTAATTGTTTGAGTTACTACTTGTTTTTGTCGAAGTATCTCATTGAATGTTCATCTGTTTCACTGCTTGAGAGTCAGTTGAGACTAACAATAAGTCTTGTTTGTTGATCACATTGGAGAAAACCCGCTGTTTCTTGAAATCTTACCAAAAATGTTGGATGCTAGCTAATTTTCAACCCACTGTGGAGTATGCAAACGTTGGGGTATTAAAATAAGTTTGATACAGATCGATCGGGACATCTACTTTACTGCTATGCTCCAGCTTTGCTACAAACCATGCATTTTGAAAATAGAAATTGGAAATCTAAATTGAAGTTCATCTTGAAGCTTTAACTTGAACTTCTCATTTGAATTTTTGAAACGAAAGTTCGAGATTTGAATTCTTAAGCACATCTAGGCATGGACCGGGACGGGGCCGGGCTCCAGGTCCAAAATATTCAGGCCCGGTACCGGCCCGGGTTAGTATTGGGACTGGGCTAGGCCGGGTCGGGCTGAAAATATTTTTTTTGGGTATTTTCGAATTAATTCCAATCACCCAGCCCCACTCACCCAGCAGGCAGCCCAATGCCAAAATATTTTAACAAATATTGGGCCTGGATCGGGTCCATCTTGGACCGGTCGGTCCACTAAAATCAGAGCCCGTAGCCCGCTTGTTAAACCCCCTGGGTCGAGCCCCGGTTGGGGCCCGGTCCTGGTTCACCGTAACCCGCCTGTTAACCCCCCCCCCCCCCCCCCCGAGTCGGTCCACTAAAATCAGAGCACAAATTATTGTCAACGTTGTTGCACAAAAACCCATCCAGTGAAGAAGATGACCCATCGATATTGCTTTGCTACTGAAGATCGAGATGGATGTCTTCGTGTCCGCCGTTGTAGATGTTGAGATCTTGGAATACCGAAAAACCCTACAAAATGCCTCATGCTGCCAGGCTGTTGGTGATGACTGTGACTCTGTGAGGGGGTGGATGAGGATGCTAATGGCTCGCGATTTCGAGCTTATAGGGCCCAGATGGTACCGCTTTAGGCCCCACATTGTCCTCGCCGGAAAGAGTTTGGCATGCTTTCTCCAGTATTGTTTGTAGGTACTTCCATTGAGCCTCAATCCTCACAAATGCCGTACCTGAGCACCTGCATGGCTACATGCATGTCATGCATCCCATTCATGCCCATATATATACATGCATAATTGAAATGTGTTTTATATTCAAAATTTTCTTTGATGTAAATTTGTAAATATTACCCCCTTCGTCTCGTAAAACTTGATCATACTAAATTCTCTTAGTCAACGATGGTTAAGTTTGATTGATGATATTTGTTAATATGAAACTATTTCAAAATGAAAATTGTACGGAGTATTAAAATTTTCTTTGTTAAAAGTACCCTGAAAGTGGAATAGTTATAAGTTTCACAAATATAATAACTAAAATCATTGTATAAACTTTTTTTTTATCATTGATCAAGAAAAGTCAAATTGATCAAGTTTTATCGGCATTGAGAGTACCATAAAAGTATAAAATTATAAATTTCACAAAAATATACGACATGCCACGTATTAGTTAAAGCGATTGACCAATTTTTACCATCATTGATTACAAAAATATACGATATGCTAGTATATTAATATCTACTGAAGTAATTTTATTTGTTTATTTCAATTAATTACCATCATTTCATTTATACAAGAGGACATATAAATTTGGATGGGTCGAATTGAATCGGACTAAGCTGAACTAATTAAATTAATTCGAAATCGAACCATATTAAACAGAACTAAAATCATGAAAAATACAATAATATCATACCGAATTAGCAAATTCAATCTTAATATTTTTAAAAAACAATAAAAAATCTAAGTTGAACAGAAGTAAAGGGAATCGATCAAAATTGAAACATAACATGTGTTTTATTTGGTAGTCAAACCCAAATAAAAAAACATACAAATGGAACATGAATGATAAATTGATGTCCATGGTGCGCTCTATGGGTGGACTTGTTCACCATTCGGGACCAGTTGCCTGGTTCGGTTAGGAGACCGGCCCCAAGGGTAGTTCACGAGTAACAGTATTAGGCTGTGATTTTTGGGTCCAAGATAGGTCGATCTGGTCTCACTTAAGTTTTTTTTAATGCATTTTAAGCATTGACAACATTTTAAAGAAGTGTAAATGCATTTAAAAGCTATAGAAGGTTAAGGAGGGGGTGATGAGGTTTAAAAATGTATAAGAATTAAATAATCGGGACCAGGGACGGACTAGATAGGCCGTGGGACCCATCCCAAACTTGAACAAATTGCACTTGTATCCCAACCCGCAAAACCAATGGTGTGGTTAGAACATCAGGCTAGGCTAAACCAGTACAAAGAATCTTTTGGACAATTTTTTACATGCCCAACCCAATCTTTTAACCTAGTTAAAACACTAGGTTAGGCTAGCCCGATCCCCAACCCAATCTCAGCCACCATGCCCAGCCCGAGCTCGGCCCCTTGCCCAATCCGTCCACCATGCCACCATGCAGATCCCGAGCCCGACCCCTGCCACCATACCCCGCTCGAACTCGAGCCCGACACCGAGTCCAATCCCTGCCACCAAGCCCGTGCTTGAGCCTACCCCTTGCCACCGTGCCCAGCCCGTCGGCTACAACCACTGATGCTACCGGAATTCCAACCCGGAACTCGAATTTACCTCGACAACCCGAAGTAAAAATTTCTCCCTAGGGAGGGATCAATCCCTGCTCGCTCTGGCAGTAACCAAAGTGATTCCAGTTCGGGCATAGTAGCTAGTATGTTACGTTAGCTCTTTATTAATAGTTATAACTTTAATGTAAAGGTTTTTTTTACTGTAAACTTCAATGTAAAGGCTATTATTCCCTTTTAATAAATAATAGTATTCCTTCCATCCCGCTAAAATGATCTTATTTTACCTTTTCGATCCGCCCCACTAAGATTGTGTCATACGAAATTTGGTAAAATTTATGTGACTCTAAAGCATTCTTACTTTATTCTCACTTTGTCAATTCAATATTAATCATATAAACTACTTTTTATTGGTTTGCGTGCAACTCTTCTCTTCTCTTCTCATTGTTAGCGGGACGGAGGGAGTAATAACTAATATTAAAATGGAGTAATAAATTGTTTGATTATGTGTGTGTGTGTCAGTGTACGTGTGTGTATCATTCCATGTGTATCATTCCATATATAAGTAAACATACTTATGCCATATTTTTTTTCAAACACTTATACCACTTTTTAATGATTTGTAATACATGTTATATTCATATTTATTGTTTGAGTGGTCTTCTTGTTAGGCCGGCCTGACGGGATGCTCAGTCCGGCCGAGCTCGTTTGGGCACCTTCCCGGTGGAATTTTTTGATGAATTTTTTTGAGCATGTTTCTCATCAAGTCTAGTTTGTCCATACCAAATTTAAGCTCAAAATTCGATCGGGAAGGCATTCAAATCATTTTTTGAAGTTGACTGCAGTTTTATATGTATACTTAGACGCAGTCAACTTCAAAAAATGATTTGAATGCCTTCCCGATCGAATTTTGAGCTGAAATTTGGTATGAACAAACTAGACTTGATGAGGAACATGCTCAAAAAATTTCGTCAAAAAATTCCACCTGGAAGGTGCCCAAACGGGCTCGTCCGGCCGGAGCATCCCGTCAGGCCGGCCTGACATGAATTTTGAATTTTATTGTTTATCATAATTGTCTTTATTGTTTATCTAACTCTAGATGCATTTTGAATTTTATCAAAAACTATGTATAGTTAATAGTTTAGATCAACTACTCTTCTATTTTATAAGCTTATGATATTTAATGTCATCATTAATTTATGAATCATAATGTTTTTCCCTTTACACATTCAATAACACTAATAATCAAACACATATTATATTTATTTTTTAACAAATATTGACCGGGTTTATAGCCGTTGTTCGGGTTGACCCTTGACCTGATAACTTTTCGGGTCACACCCCGGTCCGGTTTTAACAACATAGATGGAATTATGTCTCAAAAAGATTTTGATGGATTTCTAAAATTGTCAATTATTTCGAGGGTCAAGACAAGATTTTGAATGAAATGTTTTGAATGTACAATTATACCGAAATCATTTAAAATCTATCTAAATAAATAATAACTGAATTCTGTGGAATATTTGACAACAAAATCGCAGACACCTAAATTTGGATGGAATTTTAAATTCATATTGAAGGCACACCTAAATAGACTCGAATACATCATAGTATTAGATTAAACTTTTTCTCCTTTTAAAAAAAGTTTGAAAATTTTCTCCCTAAAAATTCATCACAACTTTAAAATCCCTAAATCATCTCTCATAGTCTCATGGATCAAGGTTAATCACTTTATTCGTTCATGAAATAATGCGACATAATCCGATTCTTTTGACCGACACGGGTGAGTGTGAGACATGAACAACAATTGTTATACTGTGGGAGCAACCCATGGTGAACATGGTGCTTCCAGGCCTGAAACACGAGTGTACAGTAGCACACATGATTTTTTTTTGCCCCAGTAGCAGGGTAATGTAACTCACGTTGATATGCCATGTAACTGTAGGCAAGTCGAAATGTAACTTGTCTAATACAGACTACAAGAAATAAAACATTGATTTTAATGTAAATAATGAAAAAGTAGTCTAATTGCTTCAATTACTTTACCTAAATAATGAACATGTTTTGTCTTCAATATTAAGTCCATAATTTTTATTTTAAAAAACATTTGTTTTTGCCTAATAAATTTTTATGTAATTTTATAATGTTTTTAAAATGTTTATTTTAAAAAACATTTGATTATGAAATTCAATATAATTATTTTATGAGGACTAATAAAATTTTGTAATAAATTTATAAGGAAAAAGTTAATTCAATTGTAATTTAATTAGTTAAAGATATAGATAAGTAAAGTCACAATTATTTTTTAGCATTTTGATGGACAAAAAAATAATTGAAGAAAATAAAAAAGAAAAATAAAGAGAAAGAAATTCGGAG